TTGGACGCTAGTTCAACATATTGAAGTATATGTTAACTATGTATCGCTGAAATGTTAATAATAGCTTAAACTCGTATATTGAATTTAATTTATCAATTTAACAAATCAAAATATTTTTGTAGTTTAACACACAAGAGTCATCATTAACTATGTATTACTAACACATTGGTCATAAATTTATTTTGAACTTTATTTTTACTTATGAACAGTTTGTGATAAAATTTGAATACATTGATGAGATGAGATGAGATAAGATAAGATCTGTTGATAGTGACACTAATTTTAGCTTTATTGCTTTATCTATTTTTTATTTTATCTTTTTCATTTTTGTGCCCCCACGTTAGTGGCGGGCATTTAGATTTACCCTTGTTCGTCCGTCCGTCTGTCCGTCCGTCCTTCCGTCCGTCCGTCCGTCCGTTCACTTTTGTGTCGCACGTAACTCAAAAAGTATTTGACCTAGAGTCATGAAACTTTACAGGAATGTTGATCAGCATGTGTAGTTGTGCACCTGGGTATTTTTGTCTGGATATTTTTAGTATTTTCAGAGTTATTGCCCTTGACTTAGTAAAATTTTGCAATTTTCAACTTGTGTCGCATGTAACTCAAAAAGTATTTGACCTAGAGTCTTGAAACTTTACAGAAATGTTGATCAGCATGTGTAGTTGTGCACCTGGGTATTTTCGTCTGGATGTTTTTAGTATTTTCAGAGTTATTGCCCTTGACTTAGTAAAATTTTGCAATTTTCAACACGTGTCGCACGTTACTCAAAAAGTATTTGACCTAGAGTCATGTAACTTTACAGGAATATTGATCAGATGTGCAGTTGTGCACCAAACATTTTCGTCTGGATTTATTTAGTATTTTCAGAGTTATTGCCCTTGACTAAGAAATATTTTGCAATTTTCAACTTGTGTCGCATGTACATGTAACTCAAAAAGGATTTGACATAGTCATTAAACCTTATGGGCAGGTTGCTCAGCATATTTAGATTTGCACCTGGGGTTTCGCTTGTGGATTTATCCAGTATTTGTAGAGTTATTTCCCTTGACTTAGGAAAAAGATTGACAGAACAGTGGCGCGGTGGGGGCACCCGTGTCCTATGGACACATTTCTAGTTTTAATATTACTTTACATATTAACATTAAATTATATCAAATTTTTATTTAACGTGTACAAAGCTATAAATAGGCTGCATGTAATATAAAAAATTATAGAATGCATTATGAAATAAAATATTACAAAATACCTGACAAAAAAAGGTAGACGAAAATGTTGTTTATTGGTCTATGAGCGAATTGCGCATGCACGCGTTCAAATTATCGTATATTTTTGTTTGTAAATTGTAATTGTAATCTTTAAGTCACAATTTAAATTGTCGCTCTTTCGTTTTCGTTGCTTTTCACGGTCTGTCGTTCCTCCTTTGGTTGGACAGTTTGGTGGTTTTTGTTGTCCAACTTTGTGTCATCTATTATAACGTTTGCTACAATTGTTTTCTATATGAAAGCGTATTTGAAGTTTCTGGTTAATCTTTTGATTATATCATAATCTCTTCTTAGACAATAAAGACGTCTGCCTCTGCCAGACATTATCAATCAAATTTCTATGTTTGTATTTTAACTCTACTGAGGATGACACAAGTTAACAAGGAGGAACATGTACCGTGGTAAAAGTGAAACATAAATACATTTCCAAACTTTTCATGAAAATAAACATGAATATTGAGGCGTGCTGCTTTAAAATCCTAATAATTGTATATTTATTAATTCCAGCCCATATACTTATCATATCTTTCAATAAAACTTATATATATGCTGTTTTGAAGAAAAAGTAAATATTTATACGTCAAAAATATACACAAGATAAAAAAAATGTGTTAGAAAAAATCGCACATCCTCCAAATCACCTTGCAATTGATTCTATTTCCAATATTTTCACATTATCCTTTTGTCAACAGGCGACACGCGTCATCTATTAGACATATATTACTGGTACTTATTATATATTTTCATCATTTTTTTTCTTTTTCAACAATTTCAAACTTCATCTTCAATATACAAACACACTATGTGAAAAAATTTAAACTATCGCCGTTTTATTTATTTTAAATTATTTACAAAATATTTCAACAAATTCAAGCGTGGCACTCAGCTCTGTCGTATTAAAATGCGAGGCGCTATGAATGTGAGAACCCCCGCATTATCCCGAATGACTCCGATTATAGCAAGGCTGGTTCAAAGCGCATTTATATACAGCATATCTGAGAGTCATTTTGTTTTCAAAAAAACGTATATTTACTTTCATTGATATATATATAACAACTATATATGAATTAGGATTAACAAATATATATTTCATTTGTATTTTTAGGCGTTTGGAGCTCAACTCCTAAGTATCTGTGACTTTAACGTTAAAAAAAGACATAAATGATATCGGGTCCACCGCACTGCGTTGCAATCGAATCCACCGCCGTCTGCGTTGTAATCAATTTTTGTCAATTCTTATATGAAAATGGTAATATCAATTTCCAAAAGTTCCAAAATATGGTTGTTTTATGTAATTATCATACATACGGTGCGATGCCAGTGTATCTAGGGATAGTTTTGAGTACATTTGTAGTGTTATAAACAAAATTAGGCAAAAGTGGCGTCCCCTCGTCAAACTGTACAGAAGTGTTTGCATACCTGGTCATGATTTGCACCCCATGCGTGTAATAAGTTGGAAGAGTACATATGTGGGCTCCAGTCTCACTAGGTGTTATCAGTAAAACATAAAAACATGACGTACAAATAAGTCATAAACTTACCGACACCAGCAAAAAACTATCCGATAGCCATGTTTTTCCACCGCTTCTGCGACGAATTCTCCATCGCCGCACCGGTAGACCCACCGCTTCTGCGAAAGCTATGGCCAGTGTGATTCTATATGGTTAGCAAATTTAACGCTCTTTACATTCAGGCGAGAAAATGCTGACCAGTTAAACATATACACATGTAGTAGAATCTGCTGACCAGTTAGATATATAGGGAAACTGCTGACCAGTTAGAAATATAGAAAAAAATATATTTTGTCGTGAAATTTTAATTCATTTTATAATGTACGAAATTCAATATATTGTATAAAATTTTGTCGACATTTAATTAAGTTAAAACACTGCTGACTTATTTAATATTAATTCAAATTGCAATTATTGCTTTTGAAAATACATTTTTTTTCCGTTACAAGATTTTTCTATTGAAATATCACTAACAAGAGATTTTGATAAAACTCATAACATCATAATTCTTTATAAAACATTAATTCAAATTTTTGCATATCTTTAGAGGTATAAAAGCTGTTTAATATATCCTTTTAAAATCACGGATTTATATTACATGTAGTAATGTAAATCCGTGTTAAAATGTATGATATTATGGTACTTTAAATGTATATATTAATTTAGTTTATAAACATAGTCATATAAATGCAAAAATTAAAAATATAATTAAAAGAATAAAAGTAATTTCCCATCTTTTTATTACCCCCTACGGCGTGTTTATATAACTTCACACCTTCAATGTTTCCCTTCTTTGTGTAACTGGTCAGCATTTTCCGATAATCCTTCTTTATTTAACTGGTCAGCAGTTTCCTATATATCTATATCGTCAGCTAATTCGTCAGCAGTTTAGTGCGACCCCTTCCATGATCGCACCGTTTGTCGGTGAGTTAGTAAATTCTGACCAAGCACCGGTAGACGCACGACAATGCGATACGATATTATTCCAAATGTCGCTTCGCATTGTCGAGTGTCGCTTCGCGTTGTCGAGTATCGCTTCGCGTTGTCGAGTATCGCTTCGCGTTGTCGAGTGTCGCTTCGCATTGTCGAGTGTCGCTTCGCATTGTCGAGTGTCGCGGTGTAAAAATCATAAAAATAACGCGACATTTACTCGACATTTTAAAAATGTCGCTTCGCGATGTCGAGTGTCACTTCGCATTGTCGAGCGTCGTATCGCATTGTCGCGTTGTCGTTTCGCATTGTCGAGTGTCGTGGTATGCACTTCTACCAACCTCGACACTCGACAATGCGAAGTGACAATGCGACAACGCGAAGTGACATCGCGACAACGCGAAGTGACATCGCGACAACGCGAAGCGACGCTCGACAATGCGAAGCGACACTCGACAACGCGAAGCGACATTTCTTAAATGTCGCCCTTTTTTACCGCGACATTTCTAGGCGACAGTGCGACATATCGTTTGACACTGTCGAGCGTCGCTTCGCATTGTCGCATATCGCTTCGCGTTGTCGAGCGTCGCTTCGCATTGTCGCGATGTCACTTCGCATTGTCGTGTGTCTACCCTTAGACGCGACGGACGACATTCTAAATGGCACGATAAGGACACCGTACTCAACAATTTATAATAACCTCATACTTTTATACCTTAATTCAGAATAATATAAAATAACTAGCATAATATATACATACAACATAAAGTATAAACATACAAGATAAACACTTGTACATCTGCCTATGACAAAATGTTAAGTGCAATGAGGCATCAATGCACTCGAATATAATATAAGTTATCTAGTTGAATATTTGGTCTGGATAAGGGACCTGTAATATACAATAAACTTATTTGGATTGTTTCATATTATCATGCGACAATTGAACACAATTAAATACTGCTAGATATTTCTTGTCCTATGGGCACATGCACACATTTTTGTATTTTACGGATGGTTCTACAATACAAGACAAATGAGCTGTTCTGGAATATATACCTATCAACGGAACAATTTTGCAAATGCACAATCTTTGAATGCGAAAACGCAAGGCTTATTTTAATTAAAATATTACGTTTTTGATACATACGAATCTTTATTCGATTTATCTTCAAATAAATATGAAATTAAACACTCGGCCTCCGTTAAAGCGGACACCATACATCATCGATAAGTAGATACCATAATTATAATGTGTTATCTTGAGTACTGATAATATACTATAGTATGTAACATACGGATGGACGTTGGAGTCTTGTCCTCCACAAACAGATTACTGATATATTTGTGAGTGAAATCGAAAGTGGGACAAACGGAAAAAAGTAAGCGTTTTTAAATATACTTAATATGATTGGTTTATTTTGCTGCAAAGTTTGAAAATGATTGAACTCTGCGAAATAATTTGCATTAGCAAATCAGTCATTTACATTTGTTTTATTTTTTTTAAAGACGTGCATGTTTGTGAGTTATTTATCTCGAAATTTCGACCTACGAACCCGTAAACTCGACTTATTAACTCGAAATTTCGACATAGTGACTCGAAATTTCGACTTAATATCTCGAAATTTCGACTTATTAACACGAAGTTTTTACTTACTTACTCGAAATTTCGACATACTAACTCGAAATTTCAACTTATTAACTCAAAATTTCAACTTAATAACTCGAAATTTCGACTTACTAACTCGAAATTTCGATTTACTTACTCGAAATTTTGACTTAGTAACTCGAAATTCTGACTTAGTTACAATATACTAGAATGGCCAAGAAAGTTATGACTTACCAATAGTTTAGATAATATAAGATATAGAAGGGAATGCGATTGTATGATGGAGATGGAGACCCTAGTGCCTGGACAAACTATTGAAGTTAACCTTAACCTTATTAGTGTGGTCAACTTTGACAATCGCATATACACGCTCGACATCAAAAACACAAGGCTTCCTTTAATTTGTACGTTCCGTTGTATTGTAACCCACCTGTTCGAACATATCTTTTCTCTTATTATAATCTTCACATCCCTGTGAATAAAAAGATCCTATACTTCACTTGCCGGACATCTGAGAAAAGTACCGCGGAGTGGCCAAAACAGGGCGTGCTGAGGCCTTTGTCAAATTTGTTAGGCTGACTATACCAGAATTTTTTCCGTTTCTTGTAAAATCGGATATATATTGGGACAACAGGTTCCACTTTTATCATCTTTTATCAACACAATATGAATCAAAGTCTGAGTAAATAAAAGAAAATAGAATATTGACAAACATCTTTTAAAGAATGTTACAAAAAAATATTAGTATAAAGAAACATGACAGACTAATTGCGTATACACACAACTTAAAACTTAGCAAACACATGAATATTGCACAGTTTACAATAGGGTGGGGTTTGGACTGTGGAAAGTATGATTTTAATCCCCCACAAAAAAGGAATTAGACAAAATGTAAAGGATATGTTCGGTCTGTGTGTGTGGACAAGTTATTCCTATTGAATTGTTCTGTAAAATACATAGGTGATCTGTCAATGTGCAACAGCTACACATGAAAGAATGTATCTTGAATTAAATCCTTGCACCGGCAAGCAATGTAAGTCGTGCAATGTTAGTCGATATATCGAGATTATAAGTCGAATTTTGAAATAGTAAGTCAAAATTTCGAGTAAGTAAGTCGAAATTTCGAGATAAGTAACTCGATATGTAATTGAAAATTTAGGCTCAGCAGGAATATTGCATATTACATAGCTGCTATACAACAAACAACCCTCTACCAATTAAAGTAAAAAAAAGTAAAGTGCCACGTTTTGCTCAATGTTTGATTCTATAGTTTAATTTCATATTCATTATATCAGATGACAGAAGGAGGTGGATATAACAATTCAGTACAAGGCTCCGATGCAGACTTTGAGTACTCGTGCACACCGTGCGGTGAAGAAGGCAACGATGAAAAAGCGTTGAAGTACTGTCCGGAGTGTAAAGAGTATCTCTGTGCAGCGTGTATAAAATGTCATCTTAAATTTTCTGCAACGAAGAAACACACGCTACATGACAAAGAATACAAACATTGTGAGGGAGATTCAGTTGAGACCATATCGGATAAGGAAAACATGTTGAAATGTCTTTACCATTCAGACAGGGATATCGAAATTTATTGTGGTGATCATGACATGGTGTACTGTGCTCTATGTGTTGCTAAGGATCATAGGTAACCAAATACATTGAGTTATAAAAATAATGCTGTATGAATCTAAACATTTTAATAATACATGTACAACAATGGCGTCAAATATTTTTATGGACAATATATAATTCATCTTTTAAATAATAAATAAATCCCTTTGTTCTATGCTTCTTTGTGTAGATTTGTAAATTGCATTTTGTATTTATTGTTTCTTTAAATTATGCACTTGCTTTTTGTTATTTTTAACTATTGAAGGCAATGCACTGGAATACTGGAACTTAAAGAAGCAGCTAAAAGGGTTTCTATCGAAAACAAAGACATCATATTGAGTAAAGTCGACTCTTTGCAAGCTGAAATACAGGTAACAACAGAGAAGAAAAAAGTAAATCTGAATACACTAGATAAGGAAAAGAATGAAATTTTAAAAACCATTAAAGACACGGAACGTTTGATGATTGACAAAGTCAAAGAACTAGCATTTGATGCACAAGCAAGGGCTTGTATTAAATATAATGGTTTAAAGGAAGAACTGCAAGAAGAATATTCTGTTCTTTTGCAAGCTTTTACTGAAACTACTGAATTAAGAAGTAAAGTTAAAAACAAAGTGGACCTAGATGAAAAACGACAATTTGCAAGACACATTCTGCAAAAACATAGTATGGCTGAACTAGTGAATAAGTACGATAGCGTAGAAAAATATGAAAGGAAAATGAAATGGTTTAAGAATGAAGAATTGATACAATACTTGTCAGCAGCTGATTGCCTTGTTCAGGTTGTTGGAAGTAAAACCAGCTTTAATATCAAAGACAACCCAATTCTCAAAAAATCACAGAAAGATATAACCATAAAAGGAAATGGAGACAAACAGACCGTTAGCATAAATGGAATATGCCAGCTTTTTGATGGTACAATTATACTATGTGATCGCGCAAATAACAAGTTGAAAAAACTGAATGAAAACTATAGCATTACAGAAGAATTCAAATTAGTATCTAGTCCATCAGGTATTTGTTTAACAGGCAAAACTGAGGTAGCAGTTAAACTCAAAGATCACACTTTATTGTTTGTTTCGATTAAGGACAAATTTAATGAAACACATTTCATAAAAATCCAGGGCGGTGACACTGTTGGTATTGCTTCCATTTGCAACGAAATTTGGTGCTTTACTGGAACTGACATTAAGGTCTATAACCGTTGGGGAACGATCATAAAAACCTTCAATAATGAATCATTTGTAGGAACAATATTCAACCCTGTTGGGAAAGAACCCGTACCAGTTGCAACAGACGGTGCGTTTATATATGTATCAGATTTAGGTAACAAAGTTGCATGTCTAGACAGGGAAGGAAACGTATGGTCGGTTATGGAAAGTAAACGGTTGAGGTTAGTAAGAAAAGCTTGTATTGCTTCAAAGGATATTATTTGTATCGCAGGGTACACCTCGGGTAATGTTATGATGTTCGATGGAAAAGGTAAATGCTTAGGAGAATTGGTAGATGGTTTAATGGAACCAGATTCTCTATGCTACGATAACAAGAAACAGCAGCTGCTTATTGGGTACAGAGATTTGAATATATTGACAATTATCAAAATAGATGAATGTTTCTAGGAAAGATATAAAAGTAATTAAAAAAGAAATTAAGAATTGACGTGTTATGACTTATATACAACTTTTGTCAGACGTCATGGAAGTACTGGATAAGATAATCCCAGATATCACCACCAAAAGGAAATACTCTCTAAAACAACCCGATTCAACAATAATAGACGCTCCCGCTTTGTTCCCCTACTGAGCAAAATGGAACGAGGCTGTCAATTATAATCAAAAAGATAAATTTTTGCTTCGTATTACTTTGTAATGTTTTCTATGTATGTGAAGTGAAATAAAAGAAATATAGCAAAATCTATAAATGAAATATACATAAGTAAAAGAAAAACAATGATTATGATTTGTGCAGAAGCTAGATGCCTGTTTTCTGATCAGTATTTGTAAACGTTAAAATCATAATTCGTCCAGAATCATTCTAATTTTTATGATTATAAAATTGTTTTTAAATATATGCACAATAAGTTGTACCAAAAAGTGACTTTTACTAGAGTAAGGCATCGATACTTATTATATATGGTATAGGGGCAAATAAATACTTCTTAAGACATAAGCATAAATACGCAATCACTAAGACAGAATGTAATTATTATTACATACTTTAAATTCTAGAATAAACAAATTGAGTTATCATAAAGTTTTCATTATTTTTCTTTTTTCCAATTGTAAATTTAAAGATTTCATAATGCATAATTAATAACCTTCATTTCTACAGTATTGTACAAAAAAGTCTGTTCTGCTAAAACTATAAATAGATGTTAAAAAGGGGATGGAATTTTTTCTTTTTTTTTCAATAATCAGGGATGACCTCAAATCCGAAAATAATCCAGTCTGCATTTTAATATGCAAAAAGTAGTGTCGTTTTTATTCATATGACTATCAATTCTAACAATGTTATGGTATTTTTATTATAATATTTTCCTTATATAAAATGTATCTGTATATATCTCAATTCTTAATTGTCAAGATGTATTTTATACCTACAACGTAGAAAAAAATGTAATATTAACAACATTGAGCTTACACTCTCTAAAGTTTGATTGATATTGAAAAAAAAACTCGTCTTTTGTAACAGGAAAGAACAAAACATATCCAAATGTGGTCAGAACTTGTCAGCAGTCATTTGTAATCCCGTCGGAATCCGCCGCCCGCGTATTATATTTCCGGTGTTATTGCACTGCCTGGGGAGGTTGTTTCGATTTAGAGAATGATTTAACATAAACTATGGTGTCCCGTGTGGGATTTGTCAGTGTTTGGTGGTCTCAAAGTTAATCATCTAATACTCTACATATAAAAACAAGTAATTGGAGCGTATAACTTATAATCTTTGTCATCACGCTTCTCAAATAGTGGTTTCAAATTTAATCGAATTTGATATACATGTATTATATACATGCATGTCAGGTTCAAATGAATGATGGTTTCAAATTTAATCAAAATTAATGTTTCACATAACTTAAAATATTATAAAATTATTCATCACCTTAGTAGTCCAAGTTATATTTGATTATCAGAGTTTATCATAAAATAATTATGCGCATCTTTTTTGTCTGTCATTGCATAGCAATAAAACAGCATTCCTGTCACCACCATGTAGTTTACAAACATTCAACTATAGTTCTTTATTATTGTTATAGTTTTCCTGTTTTATGATCAACAATCAGTTGGTGGTTCTTGTTGTCATAACACAGAGAGTCTTGACTGTCTAATCCGTCTAACAATTCTCCTAAACATTTACCTTTCTTATTGACCATCATTATATTGCCCGAGATGAATCCTGCAAGAATAATGATATCATTTTTACCAATACAAGCCCTACTTGCTCTTTTTAGTCTTTCCAAACCCATTATTGACCACACATTTCCGTACTCCACACTTAGCTAGTATCTGGCTGAAAAATAATCATTTGCCGAAACTTCTACTTCTCGGGAGCCTAACCGTGAATTATAACAATTTCCCTCCACCGAATTCATGTACAAGTACTAATTCACCAGAATAAACAATAAACAAAATTCATGAAACCTTTATTATACACCCCTTCGAAAAATCCATAAACTTCATAGGTTACTGGCCTTGGTAAGTAGATGGACCTTATTGATTTTTGGGACAAGAGATCAAAGGTCATGGTCACATTGACTTTGTATGCTAACATCGGTTTCTGACCAATGAACCTCAACAATCCATGTTACATTTTCACGTCGATCCTATTTGATAGCACATGATACTGTTTTCATTATGTATGCAAAACATTGCGGTAGAAATGGCAATAAATTACTATACAGCAAGGACAGATTGATGTATTACAGGGGTTCATACCCTATGTCAAGTGAACTGATGTGGAATGTACCAACCTTATATCAAGGGAAGTACAGTTTTGCAAATGCTCAATATAAGATGGCAAAAAAGCAGGGCAGATTTAATACTATATAAAAAACTGTTTTAATACATAAGTTATAACAAAACGAACCCATATTCGATGAATAATCAAAAACAAATAAAATCAAACTTATAAACGGTCTCCTCCGGCCTCCGTTAAAGCGTCGATTAGTAGATCCTATATCTTGGGTTATCTTGACTACCGATAGGCTAGACGTTCACAAACAGAAGCGAAATCGAAAGTGAGGCAATCGGAAAATAGCTTTAGTAAGAATTTTAAATTACTTATTTTCTAGTACATTATGTTATGACACTTCTCTTACATATACAAGTTTAGGTATTGTGTTTACAACCATTTAATAAATCCTGACAATCAGTTTAATTAACGCAGAAGTAAGAACAAACCCAAATGAGGTTGATTCATATGTTTTATTCTTTCACAGATAATAAAATCTTTTTTTTTTAATTGTTACGTTAAAAAAATCTTTTCAAGTTTCTTTAATAGCGGTTTGGTCTGCTTTCTTTGTTTTTTTAATAATAGATATAAAATACATCTGTAATTTCTTTGTTTGACAGTAGTCTAACCTGCATTTTAACGCGCGGGTTTAAATTCAAGTAGGAACAAGAAATACTACCCTTTTCTTTAACATTATGTATGTATCTCTCCTATCATTTTAAGAATAAGAAAGTCTTTAATTTCAATAATATTGTTTGGCTAAGTAATGCTTGATTTAATCACAAATATGTAAATATTAAAGTTCAAAAATGGTTCAATTCTTGGGGTCATTTAGTTTGTATTATTAGTAATAACGATTTTATTTTAAACATATTTTATTCATAATCATACACAGTACATAATATACATTCATTCAATATATACAATGTTGAAATGGATACGATTAAAAGATATGAAATTTTATAAAGTTCTTTTCCGACACTATTTTAAATTTACGAAAAAGTGATTGCATCAATCTACTGAGTCAATGTTTATGAATTCATATTATATGTGATAAAAAACTGAAGGATACATACAAATTCAAACATATATAAATTGGCAATCGTGGTTTTGCTTTTTTGAGGTTACTTTGGTCACTTAATTTTATACAGTGTACATGTTACAAAATAGATATTTAGCATGTAGCATTTTCTAGCTACCTCTGTTACCTGAGTTATGTTGCAAACAATCGTTTATATAGTGTTATATAAACTGTAACAAATCTTAAAAAAGATTATCTTAGATATTTTAATCTGATTGTGAGGGAGAGGGTGGAGGGGGTTCTAAAATACTCATAAACTTTTCCAAATTCTACAATAGAGAAGATTTTCCGCAGACGTTTTTTTTTTGTTAAATGATATGCACTAAATTCAATGTTTTAAACACTATTTTAACAGTAAAAAGCATGGAATTTTGTAAAAATATTCATATATTCTATTTAGGACAACTGTCTTTTTGCCCTTAGCGGACTGCACATGCACGAGAAAATGACGCATGTACGAGGGACGGTCAGAAAATATCCGGACTTTTCATGATCCTCTCTTTCCACGTGCAGCTATATACACACATTATATATTGGTGAAAACTACGTTCATTCGCCAATAACGTGGTCAGTTTATTTTAAATGATAAGTGTGTATACACGGTATTTTGCCCTCTGATATAATTATGATAGGTGTTTTGTCTATCATGGACTCTTTGTTAGAGGAACAACGCTCTGTTATAAAGTTTCTGGTTGCAGAAGATGAAAAGCCCTGCCACATCTTTCAGAGGCTTAAAAAAGATTTTCTGATAAATGTGTATCACGTTCAACCTTCTACAACTGGCTTTATCAGTTTCGTGAAGGCAGAACAAGTGTTTGTGACAGGCCTAGGACTGTTTGTAACCCAAACAATGGTAGCAAATGTTAAAGCTTTTGTCAACAAAAATCGTCGAGTAACTTTGGAGGAGGTAGCTAACAAGTTTAGTATCGGTAAGGCATCGGCACACAAGATTTTACACGAACACCTAGGCATGAGCAAGGTAAGTGCCAGGTGGGTGCCCAGACAGCTGTCGGCAGATCAAAAGGCAACCAGAGTAACCAATGCAAAAGAACATTTAAGTCGTTTTCATCGTGAAGGAGATAAGTTTTTGAACCGCATTATCACTGGAGATGAGATGTGGGTTCATTATTCCGAACCTGAGACAAAAGCTCAGTCAAAGCAGTGGAAACAAGCTGGTTCCACACCTCCTAAAAAGTTTAAGCTGTCTTCTTCGGCTGGCAAAGTCATGCTTGTTGCCTTTTGGAATTCACGAGGAATGATACTTACTCATTTCATGCCAAAAGGTCAAACTGTCACCGCCAAGTACTATTCTGAAGTAAATCTGAAAAATCTCAGAGAAAAACTGAAGCAAATGCGTCACAGGTTAGCACAGAAAAATGTCCTCCTTCTTAACGATAACGCCCCCTCCCATACCGCCGCAGCTACAGTGGAGGTTATCAACTCTTACAAATTGCAACTGTTGTCTCACCCTCCTTATAGCCCAGACCTCGCCCCCTGTGACTTTTATTTGTTTCCAGAACTGAAAAAATTGCTTGCTGGAAAGAAATATAAGACCAGGGCGGCTTTGATATCTGCTGTTACACAGAACCTAAAACATAGGTCTACGTCTTGGTTCACAGCGGGAATACAAAAGCTCCCACGAAGATGGTAAAAGTGCGTAGACGTAGGTGGAGAATATATTGAAAAAGAGTAGAAATATTTTTTTTTTTAAATGTTGAATTGTTTTCGAGAACGAGTCAAAAGTCCGGATATTTTCTGACTTCCCCTCGTACATTAACTAAACACGTTGTTCAAATAGCAATAGGAGGTACAAGTCGTTGACTGTGGATTAGAAAAGGAAAAAATACAGTAATAGTTCAAAATTTGTTTTCGACTGCGTATATAAATATAGGACCGGTAATTAAAAATGCAGCTTAAACATAAATAGTGTATATAACATAAGCGCTATAAGACAAACAACCCTCTACCAATAAAAGTAAAAACAAGAAATGTCGAACGACACATATTCCCCCTTTACAGCCCTAGACTCACGTTATTAGATACTTGCCATAAATGGGTACATGGAAGTGTAGTTATGACCAATTAGTATGTGAAATATGAAGACTTTGTGATAAATAGTTTTCAATATACCCGGTAATCAGCGGAAACCATTCTGACATTTAAGGCCACCGAAACCTTGACCTTTGATCTAGTGACCCCAAAAGCTATACGGATCATCTGTTGGTTATGACCAATCACTATGAATTGTGAAGAATTTGTGATAATTATATTTCAAGATAAATGACCTGAAATCATATTAACATTCAAAGACCCTGTGATTGACCTTTGACCTGGTGACCCAAAAATCAATTGGGGTCATCTACTAGTTATGACCAATCAATATGTGAAATATTAAGACTATCTGATAAATAGTAACCACGATAAAAAACGGAAATCATATTATCATTCAAGGCCACTGTTAACTTGACCTTTGACCTAGTGACCTTGAAATCAATAGGGGTCATCTACTATCTATGACCAAATAAATATGTGAATTATGTATATTTTGAGATGTTTACTTTTCAAGATAATCAGTGGAAACCATTCTGACATTTAAGGCCCTTGTGACCTTGACCTTTGACCTAGTGACCCTCAAATCAATAGGGATCATCTACTAGTTATGACCAATCAATGTGTGAAATATGAAGATTTTGTGATAAATCGTAACCAACATAATAAGTGGAAATCATAGTACCATTCAAGGCCCCTGTGACCTTGACCTTTGGCCTTGTAACTCTAAAATCAATAGGGGTCATCTACTAGTTATAACCAATCAGCATGTGAAATATTTAGACTTTATGTTGAATATTTTTCAAGATAATCAGCGGAAACCATTCTGACATTTAATACCCTTGTGACCTTGACCTTTCACCTAGTGACCCAAAAATCAATAGGGGTCATCAACTACATGTAGTTATGACCAATCAATATGTGAAATATGATGACTTTGTAATAAATAGTAACCAAGATAATAAGCGGAAATCATATTACCATTCAAGGTCCCTGTGACCTTGACCTTTGACCTAGTGACCCCAAAATCAATACGGGTCAGATACTAGTTATACCCAATGAATGTGTGAAATATGAAGACTTTGTTACGAATACTTTTCAAGATAATCAGCGGAAACCATTCTGATATTTAAGGCCCTTATGACCTTGACCTTTGACCTTGTGACCCATAAATTTATAGGGATCATCTACTAGTTATGACCAATGACCATGTGAAATATGACAACTTTGTGATGAACACTTTTCAAGATTATATGCGGAAACGATTCTGACATTTAAGGCCCATGTGACCTTGAGCTTTGAACTTTTGACTTCAAAATCAATAGGGGTCAATCACTAGTTATGACCAATCACTATGTGAAATATGAAGACTTTGTGATAAATACTTTAAAAGATAATCAGCGGAAACCATGTAGTCTACCGACGGACAGACCAACAGACAGACATTATCAAAACAATATGCCTCCTCTTCTTCGAAGGGGACATAATAAATTGTATAATGCCATTTTTTGCTCCTTATTGATTATATAATTTAATTTTATATTTCATTATATCAGATGGCAGAGGGAGGCGAACACAACAATCCAGTACCAAGATCTGATGCAGATTTTGAGTACTCGTGCACACCGTGCGCTGACGAAGGCAATGATGAAACGGCGTTGAAATACTGTAAAGAATGTAAAGAATATCTCTGTGCAGCGTGCATAAAATATCATCTTAAATTTTCTGCAACGAAGAAACACGCGCTACATGACAACGAACACCAACATTGTGAGACAGATTCCATCGACACTACATCAGATGAGGACCAAATGTTCAAATGTCTCTATCATCTTGACAGGGATATCGAGATGTACTGTGGTGATCATGACATGGTGTATTGCTCTCTATGTGTTGCTAAGGATCATAGGTAACCAAATACATTGTGTTATTAAAATGATGCTGTATGTATCTAAACATTTAAATAATACATGCACAACAATGACGTCAAAATTAGCTTTTATGGACAATATTAAATTCATATTTTGAAAAAGAAATAAATCAATTTGTTCTATGCTTCTTCGTGTAAAATTGTAAATTGTAATTTTTGTTTCTTTAAATTATGCACATGTATTCTTTTTAACTATTGAAGGCACTGCACTAGAATACTAGAACTTAAAGAAGCAACTAAAAGGATTTCTATCGAAAACAAAGACATCATACTGAGTAAAGGCGACTCTTTGCAGGGTGAAATACAGGTAACAAGAGAGAAGAAAAAAATAAATCTGATTACACTAGATAAGGAAAAGAATGAAATTGTAAAAACCATTAAAGACACGGAACGTTTGATGATTGACACAATCAAAGAACTAGCGCTTGATGCACAAGCAAAGGCTTGCACTACATATAATGGTTTAAAGGAAGAATTGCAAACAGAATATTCTGTTCTTTTGCAAGCTTTTACTGATACTAATGAGTTAAGAAGTAAAGTTAAAACAAAGGTGGACCTAGATGAAAAACGAAAATTTGCAAGACACATTCTGCACAAACATAGCATGGCCGAATTAGAGAATAAGCACGACAGCGTAGAAAAAGATGAGAGGAAAATGAAATGGTTTAAGAATGAAGAATTGATACAATACTTGTCAACAGCTGATTGTCTTGTTCAGGTTGTTGGAAGTAAAACCAGCTTCAATATCAAAGACAACCCAATTCGCAAACAGTCACAGAACGATATAAACATAAAACGAAATGGTGATAAACAGACCTGTAGCATAACTGGAATTTGCCAGCTTTTTGATGGTACAATTATACTTTGTGATCGCACAAATAAAAAGTTGAAAAAGCTGAATGAAGACTATAGTATCACAGAAGAACTCGAATTAGCATCTAGTCCATCGGGTATTTGTTTAACAGGCAAAAGTGAGGTAGCAGTTAAACTCAAGGATCACACTATATTGTTTGTTTGTTACGATAAGGACACATTGAAGAAAAACTATTTCATAAAAATCGAGGGCGGTGACACTGTTGGTATTGCCTACTTTTGCGACGAAATATGGTGCTACACTGGAAATGACATCAAGGTCTATAATCGTTGGGGAACGGTCATAAAAACCTTCAATTCTGAATCATTTTCAGGAACAATATTCAACCCTGTTGGGAAAGAACTTGTCCCAGTTGCAACAGACGGTGCGTTTATGTATGTATCAGATTTGGGTAACAAAGTTGCATGTCTAGACAGGGAAGGAAACGTATGGTCGGTTATGGAAAGTAAACGGTCGGAGGTAGTGAGAAAAGCTGGTATTGTTTCAAAGGATATCATTTGTATCGCAGGATACACCTCGGGAAATGTTATGATGTTCGATGGAAAAGGTAAATGCTTAGGAGAGTTGGTAGATGGTTTAATGGAACCTGATTCCCTATGCTACGATAACAAGAAACAGCAGCTGCTTATTGGGTACCGAGATTTGGATATATTGACAATTATCAAAATAGATAATGGTTTCTAGGAAAGATATAAAAGTAGTATCCTTTTTAAAAAGAAATTAAGAATTGACGTGTTATGACTTATTTACAACTTTTGTGCAGACGTCACTGGAAATCGAATAAGTAAATCAAAACAAACAAAGTAGATCCCACAAACAAAAAGAAATACACTTTAATGTAACTAAGTTTAACTGGTGGTACTAGCAACTGGTGGCCATGCGTTGAGCAATGTTAGCGTTGATAGAAGACGATCAAGTAAGACGTCCAATAATAGACGCTCCTGCCTTTTCCCCTACTGGACAAAATGGAACGCGACTGTCAATTATAATCAAAAAGATATATTTTTGTTTAGTATTACTTTGTAATGTTTTCTATGTATGTGAAGTGAAATAAAAGAAATATTGCAAAATCTATAAATGAATATAAAGAAGTAAAAGAAAACCAATAATTATGATTTGTGGAAAAGCTAGATGCCTGTTTTCCGATCAGTATTTGTAAACGTTAAAATCATAATTCGTCCACAATCATTCTAATTTTTATGATAATGGTGTTCTAAAATATATGCACAATAAGTTGTACAAAAAAGTGACTTTAACTAGAGTAAGGCATCGATACTTTTTATATATGGTATAGGGGCAAATAAATACTACTTAAGACATAAACATAAATAAGCAATTACTAAGACAGAATGTAATTATTATTACATACTTTAAATTCTAAAATAAACAAATTGAGTTATCTTATTTCAGATATAACACATTTTAGTTAGATTTTATTATATTTTTGTCCCTATATACATGTTCTGTTTCTGTTTTTTTTTTATTTTAGAATGCTTTATTAGATATAAGATACATATGATTGCTGTTGTATATCCTTCATGTATTATTGTCTCAAAATAAAGATATTATTATATAAGTATTTTTATTAAACAATTTACATACAAATCTTAGTTATATTTTTATGAACATATGTGTATGCCGACCTGGAGATGTGCCCCTGTGGGGGCAATTCTTTACATTTTTTTAAAATAACGATATTTCAAATTCATGTACGTGGCTGAGTGAAAAGTTACACCGTATTATCGTTTCTCAGTGAAATATTTACAATTTGAATGATTAATTTTAAAAAGAATCTCATAGAAAGGGCAAAACACTTGATTAGCTTTTTTGACTACTACACATCTGTATAGCGTATAATGAAGCCATAATTGTTGACTCCATTTTTCCACCATGAGTGAACGCTCATGTCACAAAGTTGTGTACCTACGACGTTGTAATCATTTTGAATTATTTCATATTCCATAAGCTACACTTTCCATACATGTATCATATTAAATCAATGAATAATCAATTGTAAGGGAATAAGGAGTTCGCAAAGTAAAAAGTTTTCTAACATGACATTCACGTTTTCACGTTCGGTTAAAGATCCTGTAACACAATTTTTTATGGTTTTATATCATAAATATGATGCTCAAATTAAGAGTTATCAATTTTTTAAGTTCCAAAAAGCATTATTTATAAAGAAATTACCGAATTTAACATTTCATGTAAATTAAGGGAGATTTTTTAAAAAAATTTACAATATGTACATAGTGAAAATCTATGACCCCGGGGAGGGGCCAATTTTGACACCAGGGCTCTAATTTGAACAATCTTGGTAGCGGTTCACTACACAAAGTCTGATGCATGATAGCGTAGAAAAAGATGAACAGAAAATGAAATGTTTTAAGAATGACGACTTTATACAACAGGTATCAACAGTTGACTGGCTTGTTCAAGTTGTTTGAAGTAACAGTAGCGTTCCTACAACTGAGGAGCCATTGTACAAAAAGTCACACAGAGAAGGTATCTGTATAGGAAAACAGAGACGAGAATACATGCTCTATACTCGGAATTTGCCAGCTTTATGATGATACAATTTTAATAGCGGATAGATCTAATTAATCGCTCAAAAAGCTGAATAAAGATTTCAGTATCACTGGAGAACACTACCTAGATTCTAGTCCTATAAGTATGTGTTCGGTTGGTAAAACTGAAGTAGCTGTAAAACTGAAAAATCACATTGTACTGTTTGTTTCCATTGATGACACATTTATTGAAAAAAAACAGTCATTTATTATTATTAGAGGCCTTATTGGTCTTGTATATTACTGCACCGAACTTTGGTCATACACTGGAAATGGCATTACGGACTATAACGGTCATAAAAGCTATCACAAAAAATACATTTGAAGGAACACTTTTCAAGGCGGTTGGTAAACATCTTGTCCCAGTTGCATCTGATAGAGGGTTTATTTGTGTATCTGATTTGGATAATCAGGAAGCATGTATAGATAAGGACGTCAATGTGTGGTCAATAATGGGTTTGGAAAGGCTTAAAAAAGCAAGGAGGGCTTGTATTATAATAAACTCTGATAATCAAATATAACTTGGACTACTTAGATGATGAATAATTTTATAATATTTTAAGTTATGTGAAACATTAATTTTGATCAAATTTGAAACCATCATTCATTTTAAACTGACATGTATATCAAATTTGATTAAATTTGAAACCTCTATTTATTTGTAGCAATCATTTGAGATGTAGGTATAAAATACATCTTGACAATAAAGAATCGAGATTTATACAGATACATTTTATATAAGGAAAATATATATAATACAAATACCATAACATTGTTAAAATGATAGTCACATGAATAAAAAACGGACACTACTTTTTGCATATTAAAAATGCCAGACTGGATTATTTCAGATTTGAGGTCATCCTGATTATTGAAAAAAGAAAAAGAAAAAAGATTCCATCCTCTTTTTACATCTACATTATTTATAGTTTTAGCAGAACAGAATATATCTTTATTGTACAATACTGTAGAAATAAGATTATTAAGTATGCATTATGAAATTTTACATTCGAATTTGTTTTAAATTCTATATACCAAAATACTTGCACCTGGTATTATTTTAATTTGCACCTGATATTATTTTGATAATATTTTTAAAAAATTGTCAATTCCGTAATTTTTTAAAGGGATGCTAAGGCAAATAAATGACAAAAATATTAAAATGATTTAATGTACTCAAATCACGCTAAATGACATTTTTTTTAAAGTCCCATCATGGATTTTGATAAATTATATATATTTTGGGTTTGAAGCGTAAATATATCTTAATATATTGAACGGAATTTAAATGCTGACAAAATCACCGAGTAGTTTTAAAACAAGCCATGTGACTTGAACAAACCCTGGAATTTACAATAACAGATATCGTAAATATTGTATGATTGAAACAAGTCTAAGTCATTCATTTGACGTGCAGAGTTCACTGTGGCAACTATTGTGAAATCTTAACGCTCTAACCTGACCACGTGGGTCAAGTTAGGAAACCACCATATTATTCTTTAAAAGGAGTAAAGATTTGTTCCTATGACTGCATTGTGTATTATTTTTGATGACATTTGGAGAGTAATTAACGGAGAATTGAAAATGTTGCCTGTGTCTCCCTTTAATACTTATATTTATAAGCTTCATCAGTCTTAATATGGAAGTCATCTTGAATTGACTGTAATTGTGTTTTTATAAGTATAATTTGAGAGAGAATGACCGTGATGAATACTTTAGTATTGAATTATTTTATTAGCATTTTCGTTTATTAATTATATAGTTTTCAATTAGCTTTATTCCAGTCTAGGTAGAAATTCCTGCACAAAAATGGAGCTTCAATCTCATTTTTTGTGTCGCCTCTACGGAGTAGTGGCGACATATAGGGATCACTTCTCCGTCGTCTGTCTGTCCGTCTGTCTGTCGGTCTGTCCGTCCGTCACAAAACTTGTCCGGACTACTCCTCATAAACTACTGGTGCAATTTCATCCAAACTTTTCAGGAATGATCAGTGCCAAGTGTTGTTGTGCATATTGTCAGCATTTTCCGGTTCAATGATTTTTGTCAGAGTTATGGCCATTTAATAATTTTTAATTTTAAAGTTTGTCCGGACTACTTCTCTTATACCACTAATGCAATTTCAATGAAACTTTACAGGATTGATCTGTAGCGCTCAAGTCCTTGCGCATATTGCACGGGTTTTCTGGTTGAATGATTTTTGGCCGAGTTATGGCCCTTTGATAAAAAGGTTTCAAAAAGTGTTTTAAAAAATAAACTTTTTCAAACAGTATTCTCACTCGTGGCCACCCCACTCGTGGGAATACTGTTTTTAAAGCCCACTCAATGAAATAAAATTTCATCTTACACACAAACAAACAAATGTCCTCTATATACTCCATATTAATTCTCGTAAACTTTACCAACGAAATCGAAGTGGAATCTTATATTGCAATTAGTGCTGTAATGTATTCATAATTGACAGGCCAATGAAATAAGACTATACAAAATAAGCAATTAGGCTGTGTATACAAACAAATGAACTATTGTTGTTCCAACATGCAAAAGCGGAATTAAGTATGCGCAAAACCATTACAAAATCTTTTTTCAAGGCGACATGTGACACATTATAAAATTTATCTATAAAATAAAAGATACCACCTTTGTTAAGCCTTTTCTCCAGAAACTAACTAAAGACATAATAATTACATAATTGCAAGTACTTAAAAAAATTAAGGCAGTACAAAATTTTAAGAATTTAAGCTTGTAATATGTTTATCCTACTTAAAAACATTATCAGGATCAAAAACTCCTTTTGTAACCCAAATATCTACGACATCTTGGCTCTATCTCAAAATCTATGAAAAAAGTTTTTGTCCAAATTTTCTGTTACCTCAGGTTGTATAATATAAAAACTGTGATAGCAAACTTAGGTGAAAAAAATATCCAACCTAAAACCCATTTTTTAGAATAACATTTTCGGTCTCCATTCTTTATAAAATGTGTCACTTTGCTTGAAAATGTTGAAATTTAATAAAGGAGCCGTTTTTCAGCACATTGTTGAACATATACACATGTATGCTGCATGTAGGTTTTTATTGGTGTTGTTTTGTTTTGTATTTGTTGTTTTCTCGCCAAAAAATAATATTCTGCATAATTTCATTTTTTAGATTCAATTATAAACTCATTCAGGTATACGATAGATTAATCGTTGATTATTAAAAAGTCATTCTTAAAACTTGTAATCACATTCTGTTAACAAAAATACAGAAAACAAACAAATGTTTTACCATTCTTGTTTACAAATAAATGACTATTTAATTTGAAAGTTTTTAAAGTTAAAGTTAGAAACAACAACAAACCAAAGACAACACCGATATTTTCATCGAGTCATAAAATGTTCGGAAACCCGGGATATTGCTGGCCCGTGTGTTGCTTATGCCATGCTCAGCTCTCGAAAATTTTTTGCGAATTCAGTCACGGGTTTGAGAATAATTCTACAAGAACGATTATTACATTAGAATTTCCGGGTACCCTATCAAATAAATTCCAGGGATATCTTAAAGTAAACAGCAAAAAATTATCTATAAAAATACTACGTGTTAAAAATGAGTAATATTTTTCTTTGACCATTATATTAAAGTCACGTGGGGTTGGCTACATAATAGAGGCTGTTAAAATCATACATTTTTGTAATTGTTAATACACCCCCTTTGTTAGCCATGAAATAGTATTTAATGTATTAAAAGGATTTTCAAAAAATGGTTATTATTCAGACGGCGCTATCGGTGCAGTGGTAAAACACTGTCTTTGCCTACAAATCAAGGGCTCGTGAGTTCGATCCCCCGCTACTCCACTGAACGAATAATGCTCAAGACTGACAGAAACCAGGACATAGACACAGGTATGACGGC